AATTTTCTGCAATTATTTTTTATATGTTTTCATAAACAATAAACTAACTATCCATGCCATAAGCAAGTCACTGGATGAAATTTTCCATTTTTACCAGTAGATGGCAGTGATTAACCACTATGTTGTTAATGATTCTATTTGAGGAGGAAAAAAGTCTCATCTGTAAAAATTCAAAAGCGAAAAAATTATAGTTAAGTACTCAGGGCCAAATTTTCCAGAATACTGTACCCCAGCATCAATTTATGGTGATTCTGATAAAATTATAACTAATTTGTGTCACACTAATGGCATTGTAAAGCAAGAATCAATCAAGAAAAAAATAGGAAAATAGAAAACTAATGATGCTGAAGGATCACAACTATACTTTTTCTAAAATATACATAAATGATGGAAATGCATTTACCAAAATATTAATCATACTTTTCTTTAGGTTAAAGACTATAAGTGCTTTTTTCTCTTATTTTAATTTTTCCGTGTTTTTCAAAATTCCAAATTAAAACTTATTTTCTTCTTTTCAAATATACAAAATAAATGGTAAGGAGAGAAGTTAACTTCAAAAACAAAACAAATTAAAAGAATCACAGGAGACAACTTCGTTCAACCCTATACAGATATGTTTTAAAAGATGAATTCGAAATTTTTCTTGGAAAATATAACTATTTCCAGAAAACATAGTAAATTTAAACAGACTGATCTCCATAGAACTAATAAAGAAAGCCCTACCCCCACCACATATATGCACAAAGCACTAGGCTCAGCAGTTTCTCTGAGGAATCCCAACGATATTTGTTATGTTTTGTTTTTATTAAATTTTTTGAAGTGATATTGGTTAATCAAATTATATAGGTTTCAAGTGTACAATTCGAAAATACATCATTGTGTGTTTACCACCCAAAGTCAAATCTCTTTCTGTCACCATATATTTGACCCCTTTTACTCTTATCTACCAACCTTCCTTCCTCTGGTAACCACTAAACTGTTTGTGTCTGAGTTTTTGTTTGCTCATCTTGTTTGTTTGTTGCATTCAGTTTTATATCTCACATATGAGTGAAAACATGTGGTTCTCAATTTTTTTCTATCTGACTTATTTTGCTTATCATGATAATCTCAAGAGCCATCCACGTTGTCATAAATGGCAGTATTTCTTCTTTTCTTATGACTGAGTAATATTCCATTACATATATTTAAACTATTTCAGAGCATAAAAAGAAGAAAAACTTCCAAGATTTTAATAAAGTAAGTATAACATTGATATCAAAATCTGAAAAAGATTGTATTTAAAAGAAAAACATAAGAAGATGATGTGAAAAAGGTAAAGGGGATTATGAGGTACAAACTTCCAGCTATAAAATAAATAAGTCATGGGATTTAAATGTACAGCATAGGACATATAGTCAATAATTCATAATAATTTTGTACAATGACAGATAATTACTAAATTTATCTCTGTGCTACTTCATAAGGTATATAAATGTTGAGTAACTATGTTATACAATGGAAATTCATATACTATTGTATGTCAACTATAATTTTTTAAAAAAATATTTATAAAAAAGAAAGCCGTAGAACAATCACTTTTTTGAATATATATGCTAAAATTCTGAATAAAATATTAACAAATAGTATCTAGTAGCACATTGAAAAAGAACACATCATGATTGGGATTATTCCAGGAATGCAGGGTATATAATATAATTAATCACATTAATATATCTAAGAAAAAAATTTATGATCACCTCCACAAAAAGGCAATTGACAAAAGTTAATACCCATTCATGGGGAAAAAAAAAACATTCAATAAAAATCAAAATAGATAGTTTCTTAACATCATAAAATATATCTCTCCCAAACCAAAAGTCATCATCAGTCATAAGAAACAGACTAAATCCCTCTAAAGTAAGGAAAAAGACAAGAATGCTCATTATCACCACTATTATTTAATAGTATTTGGGGTATCAACCTACATAATTAGACAAAGAAAGAAATTAGAGTTATAAAAATTAAAAAAGAGGAGTTATAACCGTCATTATTTATGTATAGTAAAATTATGTACATAGAAAAAAAGCCAAGCAACAAATGAACAAGACAAACAAACAAAAACTCTTAGACACGGACAACAGTTTAGTGGTTATCAAAAGGAAAAGTAGGAGGGGGAGGTAGATAAGCATAAAGGGGGTCAAACATATGGTGACAGATGATTTGACTTTGGCAGTAAACACACAATGCAATATATAGATGATATATTATTGAATTGTTACTTGAAACCTATATAACTTTATTAACCAATGTCACCCCAATAAATTTAATTTAAAATGCAAAAAGAGAAATATCTGTTGGTATTTTGATTATAATAGCAATGACTCTATAAATCAAATTGAAGAAAACTAGAAAAAAAGAAAAAGAAAAGCCAAGAGAATTTTGCATAGAATCAGTAGCTTCCATTTGTGCAAATAATGAGTTTAGAAGATACAATAAAAGAAACCAATTAATGTACAATAGCACTAAAAAGGATAAGATGTGTACATACAAAGAAACCATATAACTACTAGAACAAAACATTAGAGAATCCTTTACATCATTGGAATAGGGAAGGTCTTCATAACTATGACTCAAAAATATAGGAGCCATAAGAAGTGACTAATGAAATTTTCCTTCATTAAAAGCAAAACAAAACAAAAGCTTCTACAGAATCAAATCACCGTAAGCAAAGACAAATGACAAAGCTAGGGAAAAATATTTGCAACTCATATTGTACTAATCAGGATCCCAGTAAGAAACAGATGGTCAATGTAAGGAGAGTTTAATAAAAGGACTATTTAGAAACATGTGGGAAGCACAATGATAATTTAATACCCCAGAGCTAGTAACATCAGGGCTCTTATCATTCCTTGGCTTGAAGGAGTGAAAAAAGGGAATGCATACTGGAACGTGGAGAGAAAGTGTGTGGAAAAGATGACATCGGTCAAGGAATGCAGTCATTTCAAGGCAACCCTGTAGGGAGGGTACTGGAGGAAGAAACACTTCAATCTCACACTCCTCCTCCCTCTGTCTCCTAACTGACCAAACACATTATAGGCCAAGGGAGCCCATTGATATGATATGGGTAAGCATTCTGAGGCAGAGAACAGGGAGCAGAAAGATGAGGAGTAGATCTAAAAAGGAAGAATATATGATATCCAGCATAAATATTAGAAAGGACTAATTTTACTTAATATGTAAAGGCTCTTGACAACTCAATCATGAAATGGGCAAATTAGATGAACTGAGGGTTCACTAGAAAGGAAATTCAAATGGCTCTTAAACATGAAGACATGTTCACCTTCCCTTGTTTTTATGAGAGAAATGCAACTATAATTACAATGAAATACCATTTTTGCCTATGATTTTAATAAAGATCCAAAAGCTTGATAATGTATTCTATTAGAAAGGCTGTGAGGAAAATGGCTGGTAGAAAGGCAGTTTGACAATTACAAATGCATATATCATTTGACCCAGCAATATCACTTCTGGGGGTATAGCCTACAGATACAGGTGCAAACTGTATGTATATTGCAGCATTGATTGCAATAGGACAGGATCGGAAACAACAGAAGTGCCTATTAAGAGAGGCTAGTTAAATAATCTATAGTACATCCATACAATGGAATGCTGTGGAACTTTACAAAAGAAGAAAATAGTTATCACTGTACTGATATGAGAAGCTCTTTAAGATATGTTCAGTGAAAAAGAAAGAGGTGCAAAAAAATGTGTATAGTATGCTTCCTTTTGTGTAAGAAAGGGGAGGAAGTGAAAATATGTGTACATTCATATTTGCTTATATTTATAAAAAGAAACTGACTAAATACACAAGTAACTACAAAAGTGATCACTGCTTAGGGAGCTATTGGGGGGAGATCTGAGTGGCTGGGGGACAGAGGTGAGAAGAACTTCATTGTTTAAAGTATTACTCATTTGAATATTTTCAAAGAGTACTTTGCTTTTAATAATGGAATAAACAAAACCTTGTTTTAAAAAAACAATCTGGCAGACACCACCTTAACCATGTAACCAAGGTTAACATTACTGGTAATAAGACATATCAACATTATGTACCCTGTGATATGATGCACTAAGAAGGGCACATCATGTCTGTGGTTTTCTTGCCAAAAATGAATAGCCTCAGTCTAATCAGACAAACTCATTTAAGGGAACATTCTACAAAATCACTGACCAGAAGTCTTCAAAAGCATCAAGGTCATGGAAAACAAAGAAAGACTGAGAATTTGTCACAGATTGGAAGAAGCTAAAAAGAAATGACATGTAAATGCATTGTGGGATTCTGGATTGGATACTAGACCAAGAAAAGGTCATTAGTGGCAAACTATTGAAATTCACCTAAGGTCTGTAGTTTACTTAGTAATATTGTGCCATTGTTATTTTCTTGATTTTGATAATGTATCACGATTATGTGAAATGTTAACATTAGAGGAAGCTGAGTCAAGGTAATGTAGGAACTCATTGTACGATTTTTGCAATTCCTCTGTAAGTCTAAAATTATTTCAAAATAAAAAATTTATTTAAAATAAGATTGAATGAAAATCTTTTTGGTCCCCAGTCCTGCTGGGACATGTGGGAAGAGAGATGAACATCATTATCCCTGGTATCCAGGCATATGATCAAAATTCATGAAGCAATGTACAAAGCCTAGGTTAGGTTCCTTTGCTATACAGTCTTGTAGGAAGATGTTTCTTCTTTTATAACATGCCTGACTTTGCAACTATATACTCATTTGGGTGGTTATTTTTTAATGTCTCCTTCTCCACTAGATTCTAGGTTTAACAGGAGCAGGGAAATGTATGCACATATTGTACATGATAGGTGTCTTAAAGCATGTGTAGGGCATTTAATTGGAAGAGGGATTATGTTTATTTTGTATTGTTCCAAAAGGCAAAACTGAAAATAGTGGTGGTGATTACAGGAGGCAAATTTCAGCTCAACGTAATACATTTATTTTCTAACAGTTGGAGCAAATAGATTGTTCTAGTGAGGGGATGCACTCCTCAAAACTGGAAGTATTCCAGAAGAGACTACGATGAGACAGGAATGACATCTTCAAGTGGGAAAGCAGACTAGATAACAGCTAAGATTCTACAATAAGTCAACTCTCAAATTCTGTATCCTTTTTAGTATATCATATTTTAAATTTGCTGTAGCTTCTTTCATATTTAAAGACTCAAAGGAGCTCTCTTTTTTTTTTCCTTATCTTTCAATACTATGTTCTCAGTATGTTAAATGCCAAGGTTATTCTTTGAAGCCTATTTTCTAATATATAACATTTAGTTCATTGAAGCTTATCTTCTGAGTTTTACCAGCTCATCCAGCCTTGGGAGATCTCCATGCAGATGTCCTTGTCTGATTGACAGTTCATTTTCAGGAAGGCCAGCATCAAATGTTGGATTTTTGTTTTGTTTTGTGTTTTCCTTTGTTTTTTTTTTTAATTAAATTTATTGGGGTGACACTGGTTAATAAAATTATTACAATTCAATAATATGTCATATGTATATTGCATTGTGTGTTCACCACCCAAAGTTAAATTGCCTTCTGTCAGGTAAAGGGAGTCAAATGTTACCGTTGAAGAAATTTTTGAGACATTTATTCAATAATAGACACTCTCTCTAGCCTGATGGTTACCTAAATTTTAAAAGGTCTTTGGTGTGGAAACTTGTCAAAGATTTTTGAAAGTCTAAATAACTATAACCATTTCAATTCCCTTACTCAAAATCCTCAATAAACCTGACTTGATTACATCAGTCATAACTTTCCTTTACAGAAATTATGATTGTTTTTACCTAGAGGTTGTGTTTCTTTTCTTAAACATTTGATGATACTGCTCTTTGTTAATCAGCCACCTCACCCACAATGGACAAACAAGAATTATTAGCCTACAGTTCTTGGGATTCTATCCTTATGGATTGGAGTTAGTATTGTGGTCATTTATAACAAAATGTAATACTTCGTGGTCATCTATTCCACAATTTCAACTTTGAGTTCTTTCAAACAGTTTAAGAGGTGCTCTCCAGCCCTTATAATTCTCCTACACCTAGTACATTGATTAAGTCTTGACAAGTGATTTCAAATAAAACTTTCTGTGACAACAGAAATATATATATCTATGTTGTCCAATGTGTTAGACACTAGCCACATATGGCTATAGTGGACTTATTTGACTAAAGAATGGATATTTTATTTCATTTTAATTAATTTAAGTTTAAAATAAATAAATCTGGCTTGTGGCTATTATATTGTATAGGACAGGTATAGATCATCCTACACATCTAAAATAATTTTCTTTGATACCTCTGACCTATTTGAGTCACTAAACACTTTCAGACAAGCACTATTCTTAATTTCCCTCAGTAAAAACCTAATGAAAATAATTCATGTAGTGTATTTTCTAATCTGTTTTTGTTTTTCTTTTCTTGTTTTTGTTTTTGTTTTTGTTTTAATTCTAAGAGTAGTTTTTGTGTCTGTTCTCTCATTTCCCTCTTTGGGTTATAGTGTAAAAAGCTCTGAGTTTGGAATCATGTGATCAGAATCTGAGAAATGGTTATGTGACCTTGATTTTTTTTTACATATTGAACAGAAAATCTGAATCTGTTGAATCATGGTCATCAAGTAGTTCCAGTGACTTTTTCAATCTACCATCCATTCAATATTCATTAAGCTTTTACTATGATCAAGGTACTCTGGTATATGAGTAAGGTAATGAAGTAGAGAAGACCTAACACATATTGAACACTTACCATATACCAGGCATTTTCTTAGTCATAAGATATCTATAACACAGGATATTTATTTTAATTTTCATGACTGCCCTGCATTGTCTTATTACCTTCATTTTTGAAAATGAGGAAATCAAGGATAAGATAGGTTAAATGACTTACCCA